CTGGTCCAGTTGGCGAGAACATCCGGAATTACGGACATGCACCTTGGCCTTCCAGAGGAACCCCGTCATGACGACCACTTGATCGGGCATTGTTGATAGTTTAGAAGCATACTTACATTGAATAAAAGTAACAACACCGATTTTAGTTGAAAATACCTGCTCGCCTGGCCGACAAGTAATGATTTGGCGAAGCCTCATTTGCGCAATGGTTGCATCGTGGATTGGTACAAATCGCTCACCGTTTGAAGTGTTGGTGAGGCCAAGACTTGACCGAAACTGCCGACCGGCGTGAAGGCGAAAACAATGTCTTATTACAATCTCGGCAATCTCTTGTTCTATTTTGGCTATTTTCTGTATGTCGTTTTCAAGCATAGTTACAATGGCCATTAGGAGTATGAAACTAGGGGTGAAAGTTTTGATTATGAGAAATGATCATCCCTTGGGCCTAACTGATAACAAAATATCTCTTAAATGAGGAATATATGTACAGACGGTGTCTATTTAGTTCATGCCCTAATCTTGTTGTCATATCTTCTTTGTGAAAATATGGACAAACTAGTGAGGAAGTGGGGAATAGAAGCAGGGTTCAAAGACAGACCCACACTTTTTTCATTTTTAGACTTTTTTAAGGGAGAAATATGAACCATTATCGAGATCCGGCTGCTACAAGATTGTTGAGCTTACTTCCATTTCGAGTGGAAGTGTTGGGTGGAGAGATTAGACGGTCGGTTCGACCAGAAGAAGACGACGGATTCATCTCATATGTATGGGTTTGTCGATTAGCTTAATCTAACAGGTTGGACGAGTGGTTGCGAAGTAGGAACCATCATTAGGCCGACAAGATAAGTCGTCTTCTTCTGGATAGAGACTCAATATCTTCTCTCTCCTTCAATATATCAATCATGCCTTAGTAGATCTTAATCAACTTTCTACCACCATTGCTCGTATTCTACGTATTCCCTAAAACATTACTTTTAGTAGCCACTCTTATCTTTCTTTTAAGAACAGACATACCATAATCAGCAAATCTACTCTTTCCAGACCATCCTATCTCATATTCAGTCTCTGACCCGCGTGTTCGGCCACTTCTAACCGTTGGGCTTAGTTGCCTTAACAAGCATTTTTGTGTTCTTCTAAGCTTTGACAAATAGGCCGAAATGTCTCACCAACATAAAGTCGACCACATGAGCAAACAATCTTGTAGCATATACGAAGAAAAGTTGGGTTACGAGGAATCTCTTGTTTCATAATTGTTGAGCTTACTTCCATTTCGAGTGGAAATGTTGAGTGAAGAGATTCGAAGGTCGGTTCCACCAGGAGACGACGGCCGATTCCTCTTGACCAGCTGTCGATTGGC